CAATCCATACACACATCAATTGTGTAAAGCGCATTTGTACATTCATTGCCCTCATCATTCTCAAAACATTTCCTCTCCGCTTAAGCCCCCGGCATGAGGTGTCCTCATTTTTCCACAGCTACGTGTTTACGTACAGATCTGCAAAGTCTCAGAATATTATATAAGGTCTCTGTGTGTTGGAGTCAAATCAATAGTAGTGGGTTTCCTTTGGGTAGGTAACCACTTGGAGACATTTGGATATCTTTCTTTAAAAAAATTTTTGTTGTTTTTCTCATTGGCAACAGAGAAAGAAAGATCTGACCTTTCTCTGAGTCTCACTTAATTTTCCACGCACTTAATTCACCATTCTGGTTAAGAAACTAGGACCAAGGTCTTCTGCCTGCCTCTAAACTTACCACCTGCATGTATTCTTCACTCTGAGATAATTAAATAACTATCCTTAATCCCTCTGCCTTTTGACCCATATCATAAAACAAACAACATTTAATTTTACTAATGATTCCTTTTCTTGGAGCTACACAAAACCCTGTGATGTATATTTATAACTTGAAAGAAATTAAAGACTGTATTACCAACTTATTTTCACTTGAGCTAGGAACTCATATAAAGTGACTTCCTCACAAATTTCTATTTGCAATTACAACATCAGCAAATACAGCAAAGACACCCGGAAGAGAGAATAGAGAAATCTCTGGGCTAAATCTAAGATACAAAACCAGCCAAAGGAAGCAAGAGTGGCATAATTCATTTCCTGTATTCCCCTACTACATCATTGTTTGAACAATCTTCCTTCTGAAGGGGAGACCAGCACGTGAAGATTAGGAATCCAGAGTACTACAATCTTAGAAGGAATGCTTGTTGTATCCCCAGCTATTGCCAGGCGCTGTCAAGTTGGTTCTGACTCATAGCAACTCTACGTGCAACAGAACAAAATATGCCCGGGTCCTGAGTCATCCACACAATCTTATTCCCAATGGAGGGCTTTTTAATACAAATGAACAGATGAGCATTGGTGTATCTATAAGCCCAGTACTGAGAGATGGTAACTACAATTGGGGTACACATAGAGATGAGATCATGTTCACAATTGAGAAAATACAACCAGGACCAGGAAAAGTAGGACCAATTATGCAAAATAATAGTGATAATAATAATAATAACTCATAGCACAAGAAGCATGGCATTATGGCCGTAAAGAAGAAACTAGGTTTTCTGAGAATCCTTAGAAAATGTCATCCAAAAAAGGAACACGGGACCAGCTGCATTTCAGCCAAAAACTTACCCCAACAGTTCACAATGAAACAGGCACTGAGGACTGAGAGGCAAACCACAGCAGTAGACCAGACCTTCACCTGGTACCGCCAGACTTCTTCCTCTCTCAGCTCTGCAAGGTAAGTGCACAGCGTTACAATCTCCAGTGACTGGGGTCATGAAGAAGAGATTCCTCATGGCTTAGAACAGCGTGCAGGTCAAGCTATGAGCAAAAAGTATAAATGAAAAATTCTGTGACAACAAGAGGCTACAGAAATTCCCTCTGAACAGATGACCAGCTAGTAACCTGCAGCCCATGACAAATTCAGGCAAAACTCATCCAGAGTAAACTGCAC